TACCAGACATGCACCACTGCACCACGCTGGAAAAGGCTTTAGAGTATCAAACCAAATAGATACAAGGTCTTCACCATATAAAAGACACACAGAAGCATTTGCCTTCAAGAAAAGATTCATTGGTCGGGGCGGGGGCTCAAGCCTGTAATCCCAGCACTTTGGGAGCCGAGACGGGCGGATCACGAGGTCAGGAGATCGAGACCATCCTGGCTAACACGTGAAACCCCATCTCTACCAAAAGATACAAAAAAAAACTAGCCGGGTGAGGTGGCGGGCCGCCTGTAGTCCAGCTACACGGGAGCCTGAGGCAGGAGAATGGCGTAAACCTGGGAGACGGAGCTTGCAGTGAGCTGAGATCTGCCACTGCACTCCAGCCTGGCAACAGAGCGAGACTTCGTCTCAAAAAAAAAAAAAAAAAAAAAGAAAAGATTCAACAGAATCACAAAAAGCATCCCAGCCAAAGTCTGGAAATACGAATAACATTAGAAGAAACTATTCCTGAAATAAGTATTTGTAAGAAATAAAGCAAATTTCATATTCCCAGGTGTATATTCTTAACAAGTTTATTTAAATGATTTAGTTTCTCTATCATATTAAGCTATTGTAATGTTGCTAGAGAGCAATATACATACATGTGTGTATGGGAAAATTAATGGCTATGACTCAGATCTCTGAAAAAAAAATAAGCCTTGAAGCACCTCCTATTACTTGGAGGCAGCATAGCCAATTTCTAAGAAAGTATTTAAGACTTGGAAAATAATGGCCCAACTGCTGAAACTGCAACTTGGTTTCTTAAAATTATTCTATAAATATAAGCATTTCCACTACCATTATGAGAAAAAAAAACTAAGCCAACTAGTTAACTAAAATGGAGTTTAATTTGGTCTCAACATTTCACTGATTATGAAAGATGAAATGCTTATTATAAAAAATTAGGATTATAAATGTATATTCCCAAATTTCACAACCTTACTTAAATGGCCTGGGCAATTTAACTTCAAACTGATTAAACTGCATTTTAGAGTTACTTATTGAACTCATATATTACTAACACAAAACTACTTTTAGTCTACCTTTCCATTTGAAAAATTCAGCATACACACAGAAACCTTACCTCTGCTTGTTAATTAAGTAAAGAACACAATAATCCTTTAGTTATATATATTTAAATACACACACACACACAGTATTGGGGCACCAATTTATGTATATATACTTTTTTTTTTTTTTTTGAGATGGAGTCTCACTCTGTTGCCCAGGCTGGAATGAAGTGGTGCGATCTTGGCGCAGTGCAACCTCCGCCTCCCAGGTTCAAGCGATTCTCCCGCCTCAGCTTTCCAAGTAGCTGGGATTACAGGCGCATACCACTACACCTGGCTAATTTTTGTATTTTTTGTAGAGACGGGGTTTTCCCATGGTTGCCAGGCTGGTTTCGAACTGCTGACCTCAGGCGATCCGCCCACCTCGGCCTCCCAAAGTGCTGGGATTACAGGGTGAGACACCACACCCGGCCATTTCTGTTTTTTTAATATGGCTCATGGCTCTGGATAATAAAATGCTTCAAAATCTCATAACTCAAGAGAATTTTTTTTTTTTTTTGAGACGGAGTTTCACTCGTTGGCCAGGCTGGAGGGCAACGGCATGATCTCAGCTCACTGCAACCTCTGCCTCCTGAGTTCAAGCGATTCTCCCACCTCAGACCCCTGAGTAGCTGGGATTACAGGCGCCAGCCACCACACCCAGCTAATTTTTGTATTTTTAGTAGAGACGGGGTTTCACCATGTTGGCGAGGCTGGTCTTGAACTCCTGACCTCAGATGATCCACCTGCCTCCACCTCCAAAAGTGCTGGGATTACAGGTATAAGCTACTGTTCCCGGACCAAGATTTTTTTTTTTTTTTTTAAGTCACACAAAGCAACTTGGAAGTCATTTGGTTGGAGATAGTGACAATCACTCAATCTATAGGTTGCTAAGCTATCAGATCTAGCTATATATATGTTGTTAAACTATCAGAGATCTATCTTGATTTTTGCCATGCTGTGGAAGAATGGGCAACCCCAAATCTGGGGCTACTTTATCCAACTAACTGGAAAGGAGCTTTCATGACCTGATAGAGGTTAGCCTGGATCTGACTTCATGTCATTTCTTCTAAAATATATCATCCTGTTCAATCTACTAAAAACTCCCCTCTCAAGAAAAAAGTCAGGGCTGTTATACTCTGCAGAAGGCACTATTCTACCCCAGGACTTTCTCACAAGGCTAAAAGAATGGAACAAGTATGCGAATAAAAGCTTAAATCTAAATTGATTTAACATTCTAGGCTGGGCGTGGTGACTCACGCCTGTAATCCCAGCACTTTGGGAGACTGAGGCAGGCAGATCACAAGGTCAGGAGTTTGAGACCAGCCTGGCCAATATGGTGAAACCCAGTCTCTACTAAAAATACAAAAACAAATTAGCCAGGCGTGGTGGCGCATGCCTGTAATCCCAGCTACTCGGGAGGCTGAGGCAGGAGAACTGCTTGAACCTGGGAGGCAGAGGTTGCAGTGAGCCAAGATCGCACCACTGCACTCCAGCCTGGGAGACAGAGTGAGACTCCGTCTCAAAATAAATAAACAAACAAACAAACAAACAAACATTCTACTATTTACTCTAAGCTAAGGGTCACATACATATTCTCAGGGAGAATTAAAGAAAGTTGGAAGACTTAGAATTCTGTAGAGGGAACAATAATTGCAGTGATCCAAAGGTATTTAGAAACTGGGTGTGCACTGATGTTGAATATGCATCTTGTTAACTAAGTTCAACGTGCAGAGTCATGACTTGTTCCACTGAAATGTTTTCCTGTGCCCCACACCTTCAAAGTGATGGCCAGATCTGAGGTGAAGCTTGCACTGTTCCTCTAGACTCCTTTGGCTCCTGGACTCCCCAGATTTGTAGGCCATTCTGACTTCTTAAATCTCTCAGTTCTTCAGGAGGTGATGAGTTCTTCGGTAATGTGAGGAAGGCTCTGAATATTGTTTTTATTCCCTCTCAACGTACCCATTTTCTTACGTCACAGAAGTAAACCATTTATGTACTTAGGTTAATGTGTGTGTTTGCTAAAACATCAGCATGTAATCTGGCAAAATGTTTTTAATAAAGAAATATCAAAACTTAAAACTTGGGCCAGGTGCAGTGGCTATCTGTAATCCCAGCACTTTGGGAGGCCAAGGTAGGCAGATCACTTGTGGTCAGTTTAAGACCAGCCTGGCCAACACAGCGAAACCCCATCTCTACTAAAAAATACAAAAATTAGTTGTATGTGGTGGTGCACGCCTATGATCCCAGCTACTTGAGAGACTGAGGCACAATGATCGCATGAGCCTGGGATGGGGAGGTTGCAGTGAGCCAAGCTGGCATCACTGCACTCCAGACTGGGCAACAAGCGAAACTCTGTCTAAAAAAAAAAAAGGCAAGGCGCGGTGGCTCATGTCTGTAATCCCAGGACTTTGGGAGGCCGAGGCAGGTGGATCACCCTGAGGTCAAGAGTTTGAGACCAGCCTGACCAATACGGTGAAACCCCATCTCTACTAAAAATACAAAAATTAGCAGGTGTGGTGATGTGCACCTGTAGTCCCAGCTACTTGGGAAGCAGAGGTTACACCGAACTGAGATCATGCCACTGGACTCCGGCCTATGCGACAGAGCAAACTCCGTCTGAAAAAAAAAAGCTTAAAACTTGTTCTCCACACACCAAGTTACAACGTACGGAGGTTCACAAAAACAGAGTTAAAAATCCCATAAGTTGAAGGCAATACAAATTAATTCCCAAATTAGTGGTACACACAATATGTATTATGGTTCCAGAAGAAGGATCAAGGAATTATTTGGGGATATTATCACATATTTTTAAAATATTCAAACTTGTAAAATAGGAATAGCATACTTATCTCCTTTTCAATATTCCAATTAAGGATAAAACATGCCTAAATTATATTTTTTCCCCACAAAAGTCAGTTACAAAGGGAAGATGTTCCCACTCTATCTCTATAATCTGATATTAACTGGTTATAAGGCTAATCCATTTTTAAAACATGAACTGTAATTTAAATCTATGGGAATCATCAAGCTCTATCTATAATGTCTGATGATGCAGCCATTAGCTACCCAGCTTTTACTGTTCTCTCAGCCAAAAGACTAATATGAGAAAATGTAGGCACACCTCCTTCTCTCTCACTCTCTCTATTTCCCAACACACAAGTATTTGATTTCCCGGAGAGGATTTTTTTTTTTTAAATCAATTGTAGAAAACAACTGATAAAGCTGGGATTATAGGCATGCACCATTGCACCCAGCTGGAAAAGGCTTTAGGTATCAAACCAACTGTGTAAGACAGTTCAAGATAGCAATAAAAAGATTGTGTGGCAAAGGAATTTCTGGTCCTTAGGGAAATGGCAGCTCATCTAAATACCCAGCTGGATGGATTGTGCATTCGTGAATAACTAGTTTCTGTTTCTACCTTTTCAGTGATTCATTTCTGGTATCATTAGAGAAGCCTTCTGGAGAAACCACACTTCATACCTCCTTTGTGACCTTTGAAGGTCACCACGCAGCTAGCATCTTCAGCTGACCATATCTTCAGCTGGGCATCCATTCCCCCACTCAGGACCACAAGGCCTGATGGGAAAAACCTGCAACAATTCACATCAAACACATGTCCTTCCAATACTCTCTGGAAAAACAAAAGAAAATTCCATGCTAGTTCTCTTGTCCATCCCTTGATGTTCTCTTACCTCCCATACTCTGGTTCCTTATGTGAAATACGTACAGCTAAACCCACATGCTAGGTTTTAAAACTAAGGATATCCAAAGGATCTCTTAGCTCATTTGTCTAGTAGGCAGTGTTGGCTCTCTTTCCTGGAATTCAGCTATAGAGGTTATAGAATTGAATTCCATGTAAAAACACCCCAGAGTCTAGGTTTAAAAAAAAAAAATCCATGGCTCTCACAGCTATCTCTAGGTCTAGTTCTAAGAATAAAGAGCTGAGGTGGCTTGGGGACCCTTTTACTCATCTCTGTTTAAAATCCTATTCTGTCTTGGAAATGGATCACTGAAGGCAATTAAAAAACAAGGGCACACCCACTTAGACCTTTACTGGTCTGGCTCCTTAACTGCTCCAGCCCCACTCTGTTCTGCCAAATCACTGAGCTTGAGAATGGTTCTCCAATTAACAAATGGGAGGCCAGGAGCGGTGGCTCACACCTGTAATCCCAGCACTTTGGGAGGCCAAGGCGGGCAGATCACTTGAGGTGAGGAGTTGGTGACCAGCCCGGCCAACATGGTGAAAGCCCATCTCTACTAAAAATACAAAAATTAGATGTGTACGGTGGCACATGCCTGTAATCCCAGCTACTTGGGAGGCTGAGGCACAAGAATCGCTTGAACCCAGGAGGCAGCACTGTACTCCAGCCTGGGCAACAGAGCAAGACTGTCTCAAAAAAAAAAAAAAATAAAAAAAATAAAATTAGCTGGACCACTGCCAGCCCGATCGTTTTGTATATCCAGCTTGCTGGAGATCTGAGGTAGGAGGATCACTTGTTCCTAAGAGGTGAGCACCTCGTAGTGATCGGTTGGTAAATCACGCCAACTGCACTTCAGCCCCCCCTGAGCACAGAGTGACACCCCGTCTTAAAAAAAAGAAAAGAAAAAGAAACTATAAAAGTGAAATGTTGGAAAAAAAAAGTGACACTTTGATTAGTCTCTATTCTTTATTCTGGAAAGATCTTATCCGTATATTTTCTATAGCTATACCTATATATAGGTAATATTGTGGAAATACCTTGTCCGTCTCGAATCTCCTTTGCATTAGAACATTATCTTTGTGTAGACTGGGTTCCTAAGAATTAGGAGAGGTAATCTTAATTTACTTTTATTTTTTATATTTTACTTAAATTTTTTGTAGAGATGG